TGTCGTTAAGTGTCACAATACACAATAATAATTGAAATGCAAAAAAAGCGTAAGTTTGCTTAGGTCACGCACTTTGCGACAATCCTAGTCTAGAAATATAGTTAAGGGCAGAAATTGGCCCTTGGGACAAACTGAAAAAATCATTATGGCCCGAAGGCTTCGAAGTTAGGATTATATAAGACTGGAGGTAATGAAGCTCATCAGGGTCAGAAGACACCTGAAGAGAAGATAGCAGCCGGCACTTACAAGTGTATGTACAGAGTAAGCAGACTTCAGGAATCGCAAACTACCGAAAAAGACAATTGTTGGCAGAACTCAATACCTGACCAATCTCAATGGACAACGAAACGAAAATGAAATATGCAGACCACTTCACTTTCATGACATTGACGGGTTTTATGTTGTTTGGCCATTCGTTAGTGCAACGTAGTTGTCTATCATTAACATCAACATCGATGGTTTCCGTAAATTGAAAATCGAATTCCTTTAGAGTATCATTCTTAGAACTAAGCTGAAACGAACGATAAACAACATGTTTGTCATCGCCCCATCTGCAAGTGTCTTCCAATATACGAAAATCGATTGCGGCAGTTGTATCTCCAAAAACATATGCGGTAATAATTTCAGTAAAGAATCCTGCACTGATACCTGTCGGATACAATCCAAGGCCTTCATAGGATTAGCCAGTGTAGTGAATGTTTTCTGATAGGTGTCAGTCCATTAACCTACAGGGTAGGTGATTTCATTTGGGCAAATTTCAGATATGCGGTTGGTTACGTCATTCATAGGCAGATGGGGCAATGACAAACATGTTGCTTGTCGTTCGCTTCAGCCTAGTTCGAGAAATGATACTCCGAAGGAATTCGATTTTCTATTATCGGAAATCATCGACTTTATGTTGATAATAGATTCTACTTGGCACTGACGAATGGCCAAACAGCCTGAAACCGGTCTGCATAAGTGTTCCAAAAATTGAAAATTGATTGCGGCAGTTGTATCGGCTTCACTATATGCAGGAATAACTTCATTGAATAATCCGGATATTAGCTATAGGAATAGTTGTTTTCTGATAGGTATAGTCCATTAACCTACAGTGAAGGTAATTTGAGACTGACCTGAACGAATTGTTCTTTTATATGATTTGATTTACAGCCAGTCTCCAAATATTCTCGAGTTTCCACTCGATTTGTGGAATACTAAGTATCATGACAATAATATAATCGACACATGTAACATATCTATCTTTTACAAAAGTAAAAAAAATAATTGTTCTCTATATCTTAAAGGTTTATTTATGATTCTCTCAGATAAAATAACCACAGTATTTTCACTAGTACCACTAGATTCATTCGAAACATTTCTGTTCAAAGATTGTTGACTAGAACTAGGTGAACATGCATGAGAACTAGAAACATTCAAGTATAGTCGAAGTAAACGATTTCGTGCACTCTTAAAGTTGGCGGCACACTCTAAGGCTAAAAAACCAATACATAGAAATGAACCGGCAGCAAACTAGTCCATGTGTATTGTCGACTTGGTGGATCGTATTGGATAATTTTTACTAACCGAGTTTTATGATTGGCTGAAGAGTCATGAAATTAAATTTGAAGCCATGTTAAGATGACGAATAGAAATCGGGTAATGTGGTTATGGTTAACGACGTCGCGTTCAGTTCACGAACTGGTCGCGATTTGAGTGTGGAAATTCGATATAAGTGCAGTTATAATTACTTTAAAATTTTGTTATTTGTTTAAAATGTGGCGTCTTTGGACAAGTACTTATTGTAATAACTAGTGTTATAACAACGCTGACTTTTTTCTGTGTATTGTTTCCAATAGCGATGGTGGAAAATGTGAAAAAANTTTTTTCAGTGTATTGTTTCCAATAGCGATGGTGAACAATGCGAAAAAGAGATAAATAAGATTCGAATGCATTTGAATATTGAAACACAGAGAGTATGCTTCAATGTATACAAGAATCAACAGATTAAGTTTGATTGGGGAACAAACTATTACTACACTGCACTACAGCTTTTAGGAAAATCTCAGAGGATATGCTGAAACAAGTTCAGAATTCATTTAAAAAAAGACTGACATTAAATGTTGCAGAAAATGGTCATCATTTTAAACATATTTTTGGCTCCTCTATTCAATAAAAAATTTAGGCTTCATTGTTCACATTGAACATATATTGAGTAAGTGAACGTAAATAAATGATTTTTTTCGTGGTTACAATAATAAATAAAATAATATGTAAAATATCTGTTTTTCGTAACGTATACCTCTGATGAATTCGAAAACAAAAAAATATGGAATCAAATGACGTATTCATATACTGGGTATCCCATTAAAAAATATATAACTTTTGTTGTCATGCCTACTTGCTGCAAAAAGCACAAATTTTGATCGGTCAAACGACGAAAGCTGTCATCCTTGGCATAGGGCAAATGATTATCGAACTCAATAATAATTTACCTCACAGGGTGAAGGAAAGTCTTCATTTTTCAAACAAAAGTAAATATAAAATACAAATACATCGATATTCATCAATGAATATCTATTCATCATCTGTATACCGAAAATCCACTCATACGGGACAGTATCTGAACCACGAATCCAACCACCATCAATCGACTAGAAGAGGAATCATCAAGACTTTATTAGACTGTGCTTTTGGGCTCCGTAATACGAAGGAAGGTCTCGAGAAGGAACTAGACATCATCAAAAATGATCTTTAACGGAATGGCTACTCCAAAGAGATGGTAGAAAAGACTTTGGCTAGAAGACAGCAGGAGCCTCGCAAAGAAGAGAAGCCGTCACAACCAGTGCTTGCACTTTAAACTAACTCAAAATCAAAACTCTAAAATCAAAATTAGTTAGCCGGTAGAGGGTTGGTGCGTAAAATAAATTATTTGACACTAAAGATATCAAAAACAATATTCTTATTAACTTCCCTCATTGGGTAAGTTCGCTTTTCACGAAACAATGTAACCCTGGATAGAATTCCCGAAAGTTAAGGCCATCGGTATATCGGATCGGATTGAACATATTCTTGAACTCTATGGATCCACGGTCGATCAGCTGATCGATTCTATATTCACAAATTGAAACTGTCAAATG